ATATATATATGTTTGGGTACTAGCCATGGTTTCAAGTATCCATTGGGGATCTTGGACTGTATCCCCTGCAGATACGGAGAGACTACTATATATGAAATGCAAAGGGGAGTGGGCTACATCCATGTGGCGATTAGTTAATGAGGTACTTTTTAAATTTTGTATTGATTTTAGAGAGAGAAATAGAGAAAGATTGATGAGAAACATCAATCGGTTGCCTCCCATACGCACCCCGACCGGAGATCGAACCCGCAACCTGGGTGTGTGCCCTGACCGGGAAACGAACCCATCACCTTAGGCGTACAGGTCATTGCTCCAACCACACCAGCCAGGGCAATCAATAAAATATTTTAAATTCTATGTTGGTACAGTCAGATTTACATTGTAGGTAGATGACTGTGGCTGCAGAAGTGGCAAGATTGATGGGCAACAGGACTTAGAAGCATTGCAGTAGTCCAAGCAAAAGATACTATGAGCCTAAGTGAAATAATTGTAAGAACAGAAAGCAAAGAAAGAACATCAGAAAATGTTATGAAATTAAGCAGAGTTTTTTTTAGTCTCTTGGGGGACCAGGGACCCTGCAGGACAGAATGAGGGACGACGAGGAGTCTAGGATGACCCCCAGGATTCTGGCTGTAAGAGGGACTGGATGTTAAGCCATTGCCCAAGTTTGGGACACAGAAAAGCCAGTTTGGTGGGGGAGGAAGATGAGTTCAGTTTGGAACATGTTGACGTGAAGGTGACTGAGAAGTATCTGTGTTTATGTGTGTGCCTGTCTGTTCGGCAGGTTAGATTCAGGAGTCTGAAACTTAGGGAAGAGCTCAGGGCTAGAGATAGTCATGGGAGTCATCTGCATGCAACTGTTAATGGAGCCATGGGTGTGTATGAATTCTTACAAGACAAAGACATACAAAAGAAGAGTGGCCCAGTGACGGCTCACGTTTAAGAGACAGACAAAAGAAGAGGACTCCTTAAAGGGGAGGAAAAAGATTATGGAAGATGAAGAGAACCAGGAGAGAATAGTGTCATGAAAGCCAAAAGGAGTAGATAATTTCAAAGATAAGTGACTAGTTGACCCTGTCGACTACAAAGTAGTGTCAAGAACAAGAGAGGTCTACTAAGATAATGTTTTAAAGATTTCCATTGAATGAAACAATATGAAGTGAACTCAGTTTTTTAGGGAAGTGATGAGTTTTCAAAAACTAGTCTATGGGAAATGGAAGGAGAAGCTTGCATGTGACAAGGGCTGTAGAAGGCCCAGCATCCACCTTGTTCACTGATGTAAGTGCTGAACAAGTTCCCTAATAGAGAAAATAGGAAAAATATACTAAACCTTTTCCCTTTTTGCTTACAAAATAAGCCAACCTTGCCTGGCCGGTGTGGGTCAATGGTTGCGTGTCAACCTATGAACCAGGAGGTCATGGTTCGATTCCCAGTCAGGCACATGCCCGGGTTGCAGGCTCAATCCCCAGTAGAGAGCATGCAGGAGGCAGCCAATCAATAATTCTCTCTCATCATTGATGTTTCTCTCTCTCTCTCCCTCTCCCTTCCTCTCTGAAATCAATAACAATATATTTTTTCTAAAAATATGAGCCAACCTTTCAAGTTCAGAGATGCCCCCTTCAGTCTAATGCGTGCTGAAGTGACCGCTGGTGACTGCTTCTTTGTTGGTAGAATCCATAACCTTAGCTCCATTCTTCCCCCACCATGACTAAACTTGCTCTAATTTCTTTTCCTTTTTCATTTCATTCATTTGTGTAATGTGTTAGGAACACAGGAAGAAAGGTATTTTAGAACCAGGAAATGCCATGGAGATTACCTCTTCCAAACTACCCCTTTAAGAAACAAGGACATTATGATCCTGAGAGGTTACATATCTTGCTCAAGGTCACAGAGTGAGCTCATAGCAGAACTTGGACTAGAACCCAGGTCTTCTAACTCAGAGGTCGGTGTTCTTGATTAGATCTTGAGAAGTGAATTTTGACAAGATCTGTTCTTCAGTCTTTAAGATTCCAGCCCTAGCCAGTTTGGCTCAGTAGATAAAGCACCAGCCCGCCGACTGAAGGGTCCTGGGTTCGATTCCGGTCAAGGGCACATACCTCAGTTGCAGGCTCGATCCCTGGCCCTGGCTGGGGCACGTGCCGGAGGCAACCAATCGATGTGTCTCTCTCACATCGATGTTTCTCTCTGTCTCTCCCCCTCCCTTCCACACTCTCTAAAAATCAATGATAAAATATTCTCGGGTGAGGATTAACAACAACAACAAAAAGATTCCAATAAGACTGCCTAATTTTCATGACAGTTTGAAAGAAGCAATCAAGAAGGGCCTAAATATTCTGCCAGACTCCTCTGTGAAGGCCTCTCAGAGTGTCTGGTGAGTTATTCTTCTGTGTCCACAAGGACTGCTATCCCCATATCCCATGACATGCACTGTTTCACAAGTATATAGCTCCCTACTAGATTATAAACTTGAGTGTAGGGCCCATTTCTTATATGTGTTATTATTTCCTCAGCACCCAGCATAGAGTCTCGTATTTAATAAGCTCCCCTGGGAAAAAGAAAAGTAATAGCACGAATGAGATCATACTTTGCATAGGAACCAAACTGAGCTGGGAGGTAAATGAACTCTTGTTCATGGTAATTTTGCTCAATAGCGTCATGAGCTCGTGCCAGAACAAGGTTCACACTGTTATTCTGGTCGTGCACCTGCAGAGAAAATAACAGTGATGGTAGTCGCTGTCAATTCGGAGAGAGGGAGGGCACCCAGGGTCA